AGAAGTCATAAAATAATTTTGAAAAGTAATTAAAATTTTTTGATTTCAGGTAAAAATTCCTATCTTTATGACCTTGGGTGACTACAGCTTATGCTTTTAATGATGGGATCTATAATAAGAGGTACATTTCGCACCAATATTCAAAATTGGTAAAAATTTTGAGGTACATTTTGCGCCTTTAGTATCAATCAAGAATTTGGTTAGGTAATGTTGATGAATTTGAGTTTACTTGAACTTTAAATAGAATGGGAAACAGGTATTTCGACTTGAGAATTTTCCATTGATAATGAGAATGGGAAAAAAATTAGATACAAATGTTTAGATCTTTGTTTTAACCTGCAACTTTGCTTCTTAACTTTTTTCCATATTCAATAGTATATCTTCTACCTTTGGGGGCATTTTAACTTAGGCATAATTGTTAATTGAGAAAATCAGCGATCTCTCCTGATGGGCAAGCCTTAATAATCAGTTCTTGCAGGTGATCTAAATTAGGCGCATCTGCAAATTTCTTGCTCAACTCTTCATTTTCTTTGCAGTTTTTCCCTGGTTAGATCTCATCTCGATTATTGTTCCACAGTTTGGTCCCCCCATTACGTTACACAAGAAGTGAAACTCGAGGCCGTACAGCACAATTTTCGGCGATATATTGCCTTCAACATGCCTTGAAGATTACTAACAGATTTTTTTTAAATATATCTCCAACAATGGCGTCCGCGTACCTTCTTTGTGGACGATAGTTGTTAGCACGTCTGTCCACCACCATATCAGAAACGAAACTCTTTCAGATATCTTATGATGAACTGTTTGGAACCTTTGGTGTAGTAATGAATATTAGTGGAGTGTTTTCCCAACACCAAATCGTTATTTTCAACACCTCGACACGTGTTTCGATCACCAAGTGATCATCTTCAAAGAGGAAGTTTAAAACTAAGGACTAGAGCGAGCTAATCCTATTTATGCTATACAGGTAAACCATTAAGAGGTCATTTCGATTCGAATGAGCCCTGGATCATAATTTTCGGTGCCCTTGGAGAGAAGTTCCAAAAAAGGATCTTGTGACCCAGTATTCAGAGTGATAAATAAATTTTTAAATGACCTTAAATGGCCACATATTTTAATCATTTGTTTCTTGGAAATCACAACTCAAACACTCATAATTTTAGCCTTAATAGACTTTAAAAGTGGAAATTTCGACTAACATATCGAAATAATGACTTTAAAAGCGAAATTTCGATATTTATTTCGAAATTTCGAGTTTTGATGTGGTAATTTCCAAAAAACAAATAATAAAAATATTTGGATCTTCCGTATGCAGTGTACACACAAGCCATCAAAGTCTATTATTGAATCCCCCCCTAAATCTTTAAGGAGGGGGGTTATTCAAAAAATATCTCGAAGGAATTGTTCGATATTCTTGAAAGATGAACATCGTCGATTAATGACTTGCTTACATTAGAAAACTCCAAGTTATTCTTGTGTATTTTCAACATATTGCTAGGACTTGATTCAATATAATTATTGTACGTCATGTAGTGTTCAGGATATGTCACTTCGGGAAGTTTTGGGAAATTAACTAGAGAAATATCCAATATATTTAAAATTATAATATTATTCTTCAGAAAACATCATAGAAAAACGTAATAAATACTATACACACTTTACAAGTTGTCCTTTCAACTAGCAAGCAAAACAATTCAATATGAATAAGTCTATTTACACTATATTTACATTTTCGCACTGATACACAGTAATTATTAATATCACAATTATCATGGACCGACCATCCGCAATCAAATATCACATTTTATCTGCGCGACAAATCTCACGCTGTTCGTCGTTACATATAAAACTTCACGGATGTACGAACGGACAATTATCCCTGTTCCGACAGTATCCGTGATTCTGCACGTTTTTACACAACCTACCACCCCTGTGGCCACCACCACCACCTCTCCTCCAGTTGCCTCGGTCGTTGTTCATCCTCACCCAGTTGCCACCGTTGTTTCCATTACCCCGTCGAAAACCACCGCCCCGGTGGTTGGGTCTGTGACTGTTGTTGAAATTATTCGGAGGAAACATATTGGGGGGCCCGGTGGGGTTGTTGAACATGGGAAAGTCCGGTCCCTGCCCGTATCCATCATTCATCGCACCTTGCGGGAACATATTCGGGTTCATTTGGTTCATCATTATGTCGTTGGGCGGCCCCATGTTGGGATGGTTGGGGCCCGGCCCCATCATATTGCCACCAGGCATCACGTTTGGAGGGACGAAGTTGTTGGGAATTCCCGGTCCCATCGGCCCACCCGGACCGGCGAACCTTGGCGGCATGCCTTGGAAAGAGGGAGGCGGCATACTATTGAATTGAGGGTTGAACGGACCCTGGATGTTCATTAACACTGGCTGCATCACGGGTTCAGGTGCCATTCCCTTCGGTTCGGGCCAAGGCGTCGACCTAAGATCAATATCTTGGCTCTCAGGATCCTCCAGAGGAATATGTATGGGGTCACTCATTTGGTGGTTCTCCGGGATGGGTTCCTCGGGGCTGTTCGGAATCCTCCTCTTGTCAAAATATAGAGCTTGAAGAACGTTTTTCTCCCTGGCGAACTGAATATCCTTTTCCAGACTTTTATTTCCAGGTACGGCAAGAGGATCGTCCTGATCTATAATGAAGGGGATCCTCCACATGATCTGCGGCTCCATTGTATCCTCGCCGCCGAGCTTGCGGGAGAGCTGCAGGGCTTCCCTCTCGCTGGAGATATCCATTTTGGCCATATCACCGAAGGTTTTGGTGACGTTCACTCTTTCGGTTTCGTCCAGTTCGAAGTAGCGAATCTCCACCAGGTCGGCTTCGCTCTTCCAGGAAATGGATCGCTTAGGTCCCGTCTTTTTAGTGTGAAGCAAAACACCCTTGAGTTCGCCATCGGTGTTTGTTCTTTTGGTACCCAATTCTGCTTCCTCCGGAGTTTCGTCGGTGGGAGTTGCTGGAGGTGAACCACCAGATAGCTCTTCTTTTACGTTATCCTGGGCATCGGTCTCCATTTTTTCCTCGGCATTTTTCGAAACGCCATTCTCAACGACATCTGGTTTTTCTTCTTCTTTAACCTCGGTGAGCGTGTCTTGGTAGAAGTTGATGGGTGCGATGTTCTTCAGGCCGAGAGGTGACGTATTCGCCCCCGTTTGCGTAGGGGAGGTTGGAGTTTGCGGTTGCTCGCGAGATGGGGATGAAGAGGGAGATTGTGGACTGGCATCTTTAGTCACGCTGGGTCTCCGTTTTCTCTTCTTTGGTTCTTTTTTGGTTGTGGCCGCTGTGATGGCGTCCATGAAGAGGTCGCTCTCTTGCAGAAGAACCGCTGAAAATATAGAAGAAAGTCAATATTTTATCGAATTTCAGGAAAAAAGTTCACACTGGGTCCCAAAGAGTTTTCTCCACAAGAGTGCAGAACTCACATTTTTGAAAATATAGAAACAAACATTTGGAACTGATTTTTTTTTGCATGTTTCATAAGCAATTGAAGCTTCTGATAATTTCTCACCCTTGATGGAAACGCGGAAAACAGCATTTATCAAACACTTGCAAAACGAAACTATTGATAAACTTATTTTATCTCCTAAACATTTTGAATATAGCATTCAAGTCAATATCAAAATTCAATGACGTATCTAAGACATTTATAAGCCTTTATCTTTGACGATTTTGACTCCAAAATTAAATCATATTCCAAATTTATTTCCGTATCTTACAAAATGAGGGAACCTTATTTCTACAAAATTGCAAATTTTTGTCTCTTCAGTTATCAAGAGAGACTATTCCATTTTCTATGATTGTTTTCTTCAAACAATATTATGAAAATAATCTCCCCTTAAGAAAATTTTTTGAGGATCACAGTATATACATTCATAACAGTAAGAATAGGAAATGGCAGTGTAACACCTGAAATAAAACGCAAAATAATTAATGTAGCTGTAACAGAAAGATACAACATGCAGCGAAATTTCATAACGTAAAAAACGATACTCAAATAATAAATGATAAAAATATGAAATACGGCCCTGCATTTTTATACATATATATAAAATAAACGTCAGTTGTAGTCAGTTTACGACAATAAAGGCATAGTTAAATTCCGAATAAATGAAAACTAGTACGGCAATGGTTCTATTACATTATTATTTATACATAGAGGCAATATTTTTACAAATATATGAAATTATGTATTCAGGATGAATCATCCACTTATTTTCAATGTGTTATCGTTAGTTCAGGTTAGTGTAATATGTGTTATTTTAGTTTCAGCAGAAATTTGAAAACGACAGATTTCGTTTCAGAAATCATCAGTATTATATGTGTCAATGACAATCAGCACATATAATTTTCGTAACGAAATACTTGAGAAATATTTTTAGTATCAAATAAAATAAACAAATAATTTATTCTCATAATCAAAATGATTTTTTCATGACGACAAAAGGGCAACAAAGGAATTGTTCATATAAAACTTGACTTTTTATAATTGATTAATCAACAAATGACGTAAAAAACGTAAGTAGCGTCAAATGACGCCGTTTTACACTTATGCAAACAAATCGATACATTAATAATTTTGAAATTCAAAAAATCACAAGCAAAATACTTTTCTTGAAATTTATTAGGTATAGGTAATACAAGAGTTATATTCGTTACTCAACAATTGAATAGCTTCAGAAAAATCAAGATAAGTTTTTTCAACGAGACTTGTTTTCATTGTATATGTCCTCTTTCTGAAACTTTTATTTTTATTTCTTGAGTATGGACAGTTAAAGAGTTATTAACGAAACCTCAAACGCCTTTTTTCATTTTATTTCATTATTAACAATTGCAATTTTTGTGCTGTACATTCATAAAAACTCATTCTTCTAAAAGGGATTTAATCCAATGCAGGATCGCTCGTATTTTTAGAAACTTTATCTAAGTTCAACTTGTGAAGTAGACTGTTAGATAATAGTGGATTCAGTTCAGTAGATATTATAATAGTTTTTTATTCAAATTCAAAATATTCTCAAGTATCACGAAAATCGATATACTTATTTTTGAAAGAAGTGGTTCTAAAGCAATTTCGACCACTTATTTTTCAAGCAAATGGAAACATTTTTTCTGAATTTTCAAACAGCCAGTTTGACTTAACGGCAACATTTTTTATTTGTTTAAAAATGAACTATAGAGAATATAAAATTTTATTTAAATATTCTTTATGAAGAAACACTTTATTGTTTAGCTTTACAAATACGCAACAATTGTTTCGCCGTACAAAAGCTTCTTCAGGCGTGTAAAATGGATCAGGGAAGAGTATGTAACTTTAGTTCAAAAATTCAGCAATTGATTTGTATTTTTGGTCGAAATTTGCAGCTTTTTTACCAAATTTCAGATAGTTTCTCAAGAATTCAACTACTGCCAGTATTTTACATGATAATTAACATCAAGGTATCAGTGTTATTTTTTATACTTGAAAAAATAATTTGAAAATTGATTAAAACAAATCAAAATCGAAATGATCAAATCCAAAAACTGTGGACCATCAGTAATAACTTCTGAAATTTAAAAAATATATGCCAGAAATCTTTAAAAAAAAATTTGTGATGGTCCATAATAGAATTGATATTTTTACTTGCGAATAAAACGTTAAAAGTTGCTTCAATGCCAATAATAATTAGTTAATTTGACAAGAGTAAATTACAATTCAGGAAATCAAGACATATTTCATTATACAATAGATGCAATATGGTGATAAATTTATATGAACAAGCCTATTTGTGAAATACGTTGCGATTTTGTATGGAATTCCAAAAAAGTGTTTTTCCATACTCGATGTTTAACCACAAAGATGTTGATGTTTAATGTTGTCTTTGTTGTTTCAAATATTTTCTAATATTTCCGTGTTAGGAATCACACGTTAAAAGGTAAGACCTCGTTAGTGCTTAGCTCGCACAAATGTCGACTTTTGAGAGTTGTCGTTCGTAGGGGTGCGACAGCTGGTTAACGGATAAACAGATTTCAATTATGAAAAGCATTGTTTAAATATCATTTAGACGTTACATCTTGCAAGAAAACTTCTATTAGAGTTTTGGAACAGATTTTTTGTACTTGATTTGAAAGCGTCGTATAAAATCTTTTCTGATCAACGAAGACAAAGTTTTCGTCTTGGAAAAATTTCATTTTCAATAGAAACGATTCGGCAGCTGTCCACCTCCTCTTAAATTACATTATATCAGTAACATTTGGCAAAGGGGAACTATGATTATTTGCTCGGTTTCAAAACCCAAAATCGCGTGAATGACCAGAATCTGGACACGCTAGAAAATGATTCGTTTCCTGGTCCTACGGCTCATTGAGTAAATGTACGGGGGTGGCTCAAAAAATATAATATACAGGGTGGCCTGAACAGTTAGCGTCGATCACCAACTGTTTCCAAGTTTTTCGATTGTTATAATTGAAAAAAATGAATTGTAATGTCCTGAGAAAAATCAATTTCATCAACCTATTTTCCGATAATATCGATAAGTGAACTGGAAAATTGTATACACGCGAGAGAGAGGTCAATATAATTTAAGTGAACATTGAAGGTGTAATAATGTTCCAGTTCAGATTTTGTTGATATGGCCATCAGAGCGATTTCATGCTTATGTATTTCGATATTTATTAACTGCCTCCGATGTAAATCATTTCATAAATACTTTTTTATGTTCAAAGGAGGAAATGAAACATAAAACAAAAATGAAATACCTTCCATGTACCTCTTTATTCGTTTTCGTTCAAATTGACACTTTCAAATAACACACGTTAACTATAAAATCAATTTGGAGGGAAATAGAATGGGTTTCCATTCCACATTCCCTTATCTTTTCAAAAGTGAGAACAAAACATCTGGAAAATTCAATTTGCTTATTTCATGGACTTATGAAAATTAAGTAAAACTTCAGAATATATAGAAATACAAATAATTTTAGGAACGAGAACGAAAACCCATCCTATGCTTCTAGACTATAAAATACTAAATATTTTTCGGCATTCGTGTCCCAATGCGAATGTCAGGTCCAGTTGGCATTTCCTTCTCTTTCTTTGGTGAACCGTCATCTCTCACGTCTAGTTCTTAGGAGTAGCTAGATACTTTATGGAGAGAACCAGTGTACCAAACTTTTAGTCAGCATCAATACAAGTTTCTATCTAACAAATAGATGAATCCATTAAAGGTTGAATTTTCAAATTTCCTTCAAACTCCATTATACAGTGTGTCTAAATTGTTCTCTACGAGTTACCAAAATGTTCATCCCAAACCCAGATAACACCCATGAAATTCGAAAAAACCTTTCCGTCATACAGGGAAAATAAAAAATCAGCAATTCAAAAACTATCCTTAAATTTCCAAACATCGAAAAATTTCATCCGGGCAAATTGTTTAGATTTTTTGGGTATGAAGTAGGTTTTTTTAGCACCCAAAGTACTTGTATTAACATTTGTTGCCAATTTCTCAATTTTCTCATCCGCTATTTCAAAAAAACCAACTAAATTGCTTTTTTCATAACTTTTCATAACAATTTACGTTGAAAAATCATTTATACTTTTTTTCAAACATGACCAAAAAGTGAATAAACGTAGTTTGGGGGGGGGGGGGGTTAAAGGGCTACGGCTTCTTATTCGAGTGAATCATAATGATATATGTCATGATGAATTTGAAAATTCAATTTAAAATTTATGATCCTCCCTGTATGATGAAAGGTTTTTTGGAATTGCATATGCGTTATCTAAATTTGACATGATGCAAAGTAAGTCAACAAGTAAAATTTTCTGACAAATCGATAAAAGTACTACCATATGTTCGGGATTAAAAAAAAATTCAAATACCATATGAACCTTCACTAGTAAAAAATATAATGGAATAAATATACTTCAAAAACACCAAACCACAGATATTGCCTATGGTAGTGATTAATTTTTTGAAGGGACAATCATTTTTTATAATTTTTCGTATTCACTCTGTAATTTTGGTCTGTCTTTAAGAATATGCCGTACATTTCTTAACCAGACTGAAGACTTCAAAACTAGATTTTGCAAAATACAGTATGGAATTGCCAAATTGACACACTCCTTATTTCAATATAAAAAATCGTGAAATAAGTTAATTTTTAAATCACATCCTATTGCGAGAAAATTTCATTCATAAATTCAACACACAAAATTTACTTGATCAATATCATGATGTTTAGATTTCCAATGCCTTAAAACAGATTCAAATTCTTATAAAAAAACACTAGAACAGAAATATTCGATAATTGAATATAACTGGTCAATACCCGATGAAAATCCATGTTAAAACTTATTAATTAATACAGTTTTGTTTGTATGATTTTCACTGTAAAGGGTTTAACACAAACCACAACACGCGTGCTATACAATAGCTTTCTCAATCGTTAAAATATTCTGACAAGTTGCAAATGATATTATTTCATTTAGATCATGAGAATAAACAATGGCAATGAAATTCGTCACTCAAAAAGCAAGCACGGTCACCCGATTTTATGCCAATAGATGTGAGCAAATCTGTTTAAAATCTGTTTTTCCGTTAATCAGCCGTCGTCCCCATACGAACGACAACTCTCAGAAGTTGAGAAACTTGCGCGACTAACGAGGTCTTACCTTTCAACGTGTGATTCCTAACACACAAGTTATTTTTGGTACTTGTGTTCCATTTGAAAATTTGAGGTTTTTATATTCAAGAACGAAATTTTTACGCAATAGAATGCAATTCCAAAATATAAAATTAACTGTTCCAGGATCATTTATAAATATGGAGTGTGATTGGATTAATGACATTACTCAATTTGATCAAGGTTCGACGTGGGTGCTTTGTTCACTCAATCAATCGGCCGATGTGCGAGTCGATGGTCCAATCCCCAGCCTGAACGCTCAAGATTCACTTGCTATCGTCCAACCCGTGTTATGAATCACACGTTAAAAGGTTGGACCTCGTTAGTCCTTAGCTCGACAAGTTTCGACTTCTGAGGGTTATCGTTCGTAAGGGTGCGATAGCTGGTTAACGGAAAAAACATTATACGGTTTTTGAGAAATCGTAGTTTTGAACTATATGGAGTATTGGCAGTAATTTTGGATAATGAATTAAATAACGAGTTTGAAAAGAGACTTTTGAATGGATATATCAATAAAACTTTCTGGGAAAATGGATAACTGCAGAAGGCAATGAATACCTTAGGACTATTACAAGTCTGATTAGAGAAGGCAGAATAATCTAACATTCAAATTCTATTCATGATGATAATTACCAAACTTCACAATATATACTTGCTCAATAACATCGAGGGGCTCGTGTAGTGAACATCGTGTTAGTACATTAAGTGGAGAAATTATTCTGTTTGTCAAACTGTGAGTGATGTATCGTCTTTGAAAATGCTATCGAACAGTAAACTGAAAAACAAGGCTACCAGCATAGAAATTGTGAACAACGTATCAAGATTCATGAAAGCGGAAGCAGTGGCAGATAGAACAAAAGTCCTCCTGCGAAGGTAAGAAGTAATAGTAAAAATAAGTAAAATTGTAACTAATCTAGTATTTCAACTTTGAGATTCAAGAACGGGTAGCCGAACCCACAGGGGTTTGCGTGGGGACTGTACGAAAAATTGGAGATGGAAAAATAAGAAATGGTGAGCAACTCCTAAAGGATGTATAAAAAATTCCAAAATTGTGATGGATGATGTTGATTTGTCAAATTCACGCAGATGCATAATTGATTTCCATATCAAAAAGAAACGAGTTCCTACGATTAGGGAATCTTTGCAAAAAGAAATTTATAAGCTTGGATTTCGATGGAGAATGGTGAAAAATAACAGAAAAATATTGATGGAACGAGAGCCTATTCGACTACTGGATAGAATTGCAAATTATTAACGTAGATTATAAATGTCGAGTATTGACATCACAAAATTATTTTTTTGTAATAGCGTTAATATTATAGCGTTTTATATTATTATATTTTCATATCATCAATGTAAGAATCTTTCAAAAATGTATTTTGCAACAGAAACTAGCTATCATTAATTTGTAGCCTTTCAGTTCATCAATTGTTGAGCATTCAATTAATAAACATTGATTTTCTTTCCCCAACATTTCAAAATTGTAATACAAATTATAATTATCAAATTTAAATCACTATCATAGACGTTCGTATGAATATGTAATAACCATAAAAAAATAATTATATTCAGATTAAATAAGACAAATGATAAAACCTTGAAACATATAATCAGACAGTTATTTATTTTCTAATCAACCATCCAAAACAAAGGAAGTGATTATCATTTTGTCGTTTACTCATATTGGTTCATTTCCCGAAATAAAATGTAAATAGCTCAGATTTGTTGAATTGAGCAAGTTAATTGCAAATACGCTCAAATACGTGAGAATTTAGAAAAACGATTCTAAATCATAATTATTCCCTGATACCTTACATTTCAGAATGCATTATAATCGATAAAAGGACGACGCCAAACCTAGTTCCACGTCACTGGCGACGACTCATCGCGGCGCAATGTTGCCAAGTGTCCAAGCATTGCAGATTTTATCAAGAATTTCAAATTTGCAAAAATCGAACACACGAAACTTCCGGCATTATCAAAATGTCTAACTTTACAAAAAATCTGACTAGCGATCCATTCAAACCAATTCAAAAGGTTTGAGAGACGTTTCAAAACTAGCAAGACTACTTCGGCCTATTTATAGGAATGCGATTAAAAATTGAATTAGGGCGAAACGTTTACTGTCAAATCAGAAATTGTTTCGGTACTACCATATTCGTTTGTTTTTCAAATATCCGAATTAATATTTGTATATGTACAATATCATAGAGCATTGTTTGTTACCATTTCAAAATTACATAAGTGCCCAATATGTGTAAGATCTCTATTTTTGCATTGCCAGTGCGGATTAGGAAAAACAGAAATAAAAAAAGCTTTTAGAGGCCTCAAAATGTCACGTGAATCTAATTTTATTGAACCTTTCCTCATCGTTGGTTTCTAATTTTAAAGTTCTATATTTCACTTTCGATATTTCCATATTTACTCTTGCGAAAATAATTTATATTTGGATATACAACAAACGTATTGTTTTGCTAATTTGGTACCAGACAGTAAAGTTTTCCAATGTTTACGTTTTGATGGTGATTTCGCTATTGCATCACTGCAAAACTTAATTCTGCTATACGCCGATAGAGTATAAAAATCACCATAGCAACGACCACACTAAACAATGTTGAACAACAGTATCAACACAAAACGATTCTTTCTCGATTCTTTTCAATTATTTCAGACAAAACAAATGCGGATTTAAACCCAGGTACGTATATTTCGGTGAATTTTCAGATTGTTCTTAACATAAAAAGGGGAAATCGCATAATACTAAACGAATTCAAGGCAATTTTGTAAGTTATGCTCCATATTTTACTGAATAATTCATGTTTTGCCGGATTTATCAAAAGCTTTACCAGCGCAACTGCTTATGTCGATTTCATCATCTTTTTAATAGTACAATATTCGAGGCTAAAACCTAATTTCAAAATCAAATTTCGTAAATCTTAAACGAATTTCGTGCAACCCAATTTTGCACTATTTCTCTTGCTGCACGTCTCCATAACTAGACGCGATCATCAAATGTGAACGCCGGGCCTGAAAGGAAGCCACATCCTGAAAAATTCAGTACTTAGGTAGGAAAATATAAATATAATCGCTTACCCAACAATCACGACGTTCCTTTACATGAATCTGAACCGTAATCACACACACTATCCTACAAAAATATGAGTGAGAAGTTATTCAGTTAACGTACGACTCAAGTATAATTAATACACAAAAATTTTCGATTGATAACATTACTTGGTTAGTAGTAGCCTATTTACGTACCACATGGTATATATTATATCTAATTGTTCAACGTAAAATCATACGAACACCTATAATGGTGACATATCCAAACTAAATAGTACAGATCAAAACGTGTCTGAAGAGTATCGAGAGAGAAGAAACACATACGTACAAAAAAACATTTCGAAATCTTCATCTCTCCCAACTACCTACACCGTAGGTTCTGGTAAATGCCTGCTGGAAACGACTACTTCCCCGGCTAATACTACGCTGGATATTTGATTATATCCGACAGACAGTTATGCAAGATACCTTACTAAGGTTAGTCTCGCAGTTGTTTCTTGTTCACCTAGCAGCAGGACCGTGCCGGTTTCGAGGTATTACCTCTCATCAGTGCAGGAAAGATCCTACCCAGACATCAAAGTGCCTGGGACTAGATTAATTTCAACGCGGCTGCTCCGCTGCATATATAAAACCCTATTCTTCTCAGATTGTTAACTAGTAACAGCACCATCTCGTGAACAAAGCCCCAAGCGGGGAAGAAACTTCCTAAATACCAATAATACTATAATAGAGCCGGGAAAGTAGTTCTTTTTAGGCAAGCTTACCAGAACCTACCATGGCATATAAAAATGTTATAATCCTTTCCCTATGTTATAGTTATTTATGGCAGTGTTGAAGGCAGAAAATTATAAGTTATTAGCGGAAAGCTAAAGGCAGTTTTGTAATGGCTCGTATTTCCTCAAAGTGATATTTTATACAGGGTTGGAGTCAGCCTTGTGGAGACAATATAAAAAGTACCCACATAATTAACAAATCATATTTTTAGGCACGACCATCTACTCTCCGTTTATTTGTACGAAGTTAATTAGAATCGCACGTATATATTCAACATATTTCAAAGCTAGTCTTCACCAGTATGAAGACATTTGGCCAAAAAGATCCGTTTCATGTATTCGATTCGTATTCATAAAATATAACTAACCTTCGAATTAACAGATCGGTAAAAGAAGCCACATCATCTTCCTCACACAAATATCGTTGATTCTTCCAGATCTAAACATATTCAACAACTTCCTTAGTCACTCTTCGCCTCTCAGTATAAAACCATAAGATTTTATACCGAGAGCTGAACCTACGGATCTGCAGGATACAAGAAATATCAATATTTCATCACTGATAAGGAGTATTGGAATTTCGAAGTTATCGAAAATTTCACGTTAATAACCTTTTCAATTGTTCTCGGCAGTTTGTCGATGAGGATGTTTCAAAAGTGTGTCACATGATTCGTCTGTCGCAGTAGCAGACGAAACTGTTAGTCCCCTCAAAGTTCAATGTGACTATGGCCTACCAACCTGGATTTAGTTCTCTTGAATCGTGACTTCGATCGTGAAAGCCATGTTCTGATATATACTAGGTTCCAATGACTCAGATTTATTAAAAAATAAGTTAGAACGATTATATATAGCATCACTAGTTTTGCTGAAGTCCAAAAAAATCGTTCACGAAAGCAAAACGACGTACGTACGTAGAAAATGATACCCACTCCTCACTCTTAACAATTAGGAATACCAAATTAGGTGCTCGCCGAGTTCTATTTTTTACATCATCATTGACAAAGCCAAGAACTGATGTATTCAACAGTATTGCGACATGTCGACTAAAAAGTTTACAAAACCGAAACACGTGCTCCACGATATGGTGTTTTGTAAACCGTTTGGCGAAAATCTCAAAGCGTTACTTAAATACGTTATAGTATTTTCGTGCAGTATTGGCCAACACCATCACATACCAGGAAGTAGGTATTTCATATGATGTCCTCAATGTTCAATGGCCACTGCAAATGTTTTATGCGATGCTCAAAAACGAATGTATGCAAAGTATGCGACAAATTCTCTTTGAATCGAATACCCACATAGAAGGGTAGTAGCCTATTGGTTGGCATGGGTGGGTCGTTCTAACGCCCGACCCTTGCCCCTAATTGTACAACAAAAGGCAAGATCTCGACCTCGGACCCCTTCCTAGACTATATGAGCGGTATAACTTTGAGGATCGGAAATATCAGACAGCAATGCTGTCTTGGTTTGATATGGTTTACACCAATAAGGAGTAATACTCAAATTAATCTAAAATATTTTCTCTCATACAATATCTGTGTAGTTATTAGCCAGGAAAGTAAGGTCTTCTGGCACCCATTCTTCAAATCCTACTGCGTAGGGAAACTGGGAGACGTTTCGAATGATTTAAATTATTCGATTTATCAAACAATAAACTTGTTACACTGATCAATTTCTGAATTGTTTATTATATTTGACCCTTTTCTATGTATATATATTCAAAATAATCATTTTTGTTTTGGTTGGTTTCCCGGTTTTGCCGTGGTCTTATCTTCAAACGTTTCAACTACAGCTGCGGCAGTCATCTTCAGTGTCATGGTATAAGTACTCTTCTTGACATATCAGTTGATACAAACTTCGATCACGCCACTGAAGATGACTGCCGCAGTTGCAGTTGAAAAGTTTGGAGCTTATGACAAAAAAGACCACAGCAAAACTCTGAAACCAACCAAAACATTGGCCACAGCCGTGAAAACCTACATTTCTATATTCATTTTTAACGTGAAAATATTCAAATATATCAAAACAGTTCTAATGAAGATAATGGTCGATATTGAAATTTGTCTTAAATGAATATCTATCAAGAAAGGCTACTGTAAATCCAGTGTCAAAAAATGATGTTATTGAAATAACTTGTCAGACAACACATCATTTGAATTTTCAACTACTGCCCTTGACAAAAGTTTTGCCACAATGTTGGGTTCAACCAAAACGAGTCATCTATAATAGAGGACGAGCGTATAATGTGCGACACTAACCTCACTTTCTGTATATCAACATCATAATAGGCACCACCTATTGTGTCAAACTGTAATTCATATAAATAGCAGTTACTTCAAAAAAAATAAAGGAAAGTGATTAACATAAATTACTGGCTTCAAACGAAGTTTTAAAAAATTGTTATCCTGCCGTGGTATATGGAATAATTTTAAATGTTTTAACGAGCGTTCAAAATTTAGCAACTGTAGTTCCTCAATGCGGTAATTTTCACGATAAAACTGGCGGCATCGTTTATGAAATTCTCTTATCAAATTGTTGAATATTTTCGTTCTATATATCTGTTACGAGTTATCGATAAATTTGACAAAAATGAAAATTTGGGCTGCAAACCAAGTATAAAATGTTCGAAATTTCAAGATGACTCTTTGGTATGTTCAATTTTCATTAAATACGCAATAATTGTGATTTTTTCTTAAAATTTGGTCGTTCCAGTTTTGACACTGTAAAGCTATCATGTTCTTTTCTCTCTCGTTAGTGGTAAGGCAAATAATTAGGTTGACATGTCCTCGTGAGAAAATGCAAAAGTTTCACTATCACAGATGGTTTATTATCGAAGATCGTAATACAGAACATTCACTCACATATCCTGAAACAATCAATAAATGCCAAAATTTTAACCCAAGCAAACTTAAAAAGCTCATAAGTTTAGTCAGTAATAGATTTGCATGCAATAACTTTTCTAAATTAAGAGCTTGAATTCAATCCTTGGCAGAATTTCTCAAATATCGAAAAATAATCTGCATGAAAAAATCCTCACAGCCACTAAAATCAATGTATTCACGTCCTTTGTAAAATTCAAAATTATAGAGTATATAAAAGTATATATATGTAAGCAATTGACCGGTCAAAATTCGTCAAGGAAAATAACAATCAACGTACCTCAAAATGCGAGAAAATAAAACTTAGAAACCAAGCAACTCGTAGATGTTCAAATTGTACTTTTAAATTGTTGACCGGTCAATTTTACAAAACTGACATTGCTATACATTTTCCCAAAAAAGTTTTCAGATCCTAGGAAACTCGGTCAAGCAATATTGCATATAAAACATTAAATTTCCTATCAATCAACTTTTGCTATAAAGCCAGAAAGGGGTTCTGGCAAAACACTTATCCATCCATTTAGGAGACAACGCTCTTGTTTCACAATTTCAAAATGGTTGTTGCTCTCTCAGAAAATACTGCACATTTGTCTAAATTTGGTTCAACTCTCGTCTTACAAAAATCAGTGAATCTCAAACAAACATGTTCTCAAAGTTTACTCAACACAACCTCTTATTCCTTCAGAAAGCATAGCAATGCAAAAAAACTTCAAAATAGTAACCGTTACCCATGATTCTAAAATAATTAACTTGAAATGGAATCCAGTTTCAATCACTGAAATTCGTTTTGAATAAAATCAAAATCTCCTTCAATTACTTTTAAGCCATTGGAAAGCTTTTAACCTTAAAAATATATAATCAAAATGTCGTATTATGAAGCCATTTTATTCAAAATTATTTGCAATTCAAGCTCAAACCCCAGAATAATTTAATACATTTCACAAGTAATGTTTGCATAAATTGTCTGACCACAATCATATATTTTTAATACCCCACTTCTGAATATTTTTTTACCCCATTCCCATCTTATACTCTCCAACAGCTTGTGGTGCAATTTCTGTTTTTGTAGGACGATAATGTAACCAAACAAAGACAAATCAGTTATCAAGTTTTTATTTTCAACTTTTTACAAAACAGTCTTCACAATAAACGATTACAACCAAATCAAATACAATCCAACATATTGTACTGAGCTTTTGTAATAATTTATCAATATTTGTACTTCTATTATAGGAATATTTGACTACAAACCAGATTAGCAAATATGTCAATCTGCATAGACCTGATCTGGTATTGACGTAAAGCAACAGCTCCAAAACCTCTTAAAACAACAAACTGTTCTGGGAATGCTCAGAGTTGAAATGTATTGGCACTATTTCAAATGTTTTGACTTTGCATTACTTTTAAAAAAAATCAATTTTGCATACTGTCTTTAGATATCACCCTTGTCATCATACAATTGCTACTCCCAAAATAAAAAAAAACTCACGAGTAGTCCAATATCCAGCAACTACAATGCCATCTTTGAATTCTTCACTTTTCATTGAATAGACTTAACTGAGCAAGGAATTGTTACTCATGTTTTTGTGAGTTATCAAATTCAATTAGTTGAGCCTGCGTCAGTCAACTGGCTTGCAAATAAGCAACACTATTATTATAACAGAGGTTAAATAAAGTAGTCTATGATTGATTCCCTGATCTTTGAAGTTTTCCCATAATTGATATTTATGTATTTCAATTGTAATTTTTGTTAAATGAACTTTCATTAGATGATTACAATTATAATTACAAAAAAAAATGTCGTGTCAGTTACTTCATGCTGCTGAGTATTTTGTACAAAATAATTGGTACTGGATGAAAAATACTCCTACCAGACAAAGCATGTCTGTGCTATGAAAAACATTTTGGCAGGCTCGTCAGTATCATTAAAATCATTTCTGGAATAGATCAAGCATCGCAATGGAAACCCACCAAGGGTCCAAGATTCAGACCCCTAGGAACTTCTGGCTAATTCTGAAGTTTTCGATTAAGACCAACCATCATCAAAGTTGTGGGCACGTGTTGAAAGGAGGTTAAAACCAGCGTTTGTATTTGGAATTTATTGGTTGACAAGCCTATTAGAACTGAGTGTTATACTACTGAATAAATATCATTTTCTAAATTAATTACTTTTTGAATGGTCCCCGTATATTATTCCACAATAGATTGTTGTTTCTTTTTTGAACTGAGAATTATTTTGTTACCCATATGAATTGCCCTACTATTTTATTCAGCTCTTATAGAGTAAGCTATGTGTCTATATTGTATTGCCTATACTTATACCATTTCATATCATCAAACTTGTTTCATTTTACATAGCTGATTATTTTGAAGTCATTTGGCAACACTGAGAGAACTCCATAACCAACACTCTTGACAGGAAACATAACACAGGCAGTTGTTCATCCAGGAGAGGATAAGTGTTCTTATACCCGATCCGACTCCTCGCTATGTACTAGTGGACGGATTCTACCATGCTCTAAGATTGTCACGTTAGTTTTTCTGGCGAGAGAGAGGATTCATCCCACATACCTTATCAAAAATAGTTTTATTCACCTCCAGTTATGATAGTACAGTCAAATTTACATAATCAACTTACCATACGGAGACCTATGCAAACTTTATATATGATTAGTTTTATGAAAAGCCTACAAAGACGTGACCGACGCTCCATCTAGCGGGCTTTTGCGAGAACTTTCACTGATCACTGTATAACTATGCCTTTATAGTATGCTGAAAATATCAAGTAATACGTACGCTACAACTGACAACAGGTCTCGTATTCTCAAACGTGACCGAACTGGAAAAAAGAAAAATAAACGAGCAAAACTGTGAAACACTGCCACTTCCCATTCGAAGACAGTCAGCAGAGAAAAACGGTCCCCCGCCAATTGATCGTGGCTGGCAACCATCTTCCACTTTCCGTCGATACCTGAAAAATAAAACGAAAAGTGAGAAGAGTATGTCTAAAAGAAACTCACGTTTGGGTTTAGGGGGGATCAGCTTGATGGCGCCTGGCCTGTCGGGGATGTCAACCTTATCCATTCTCAACTTCTTTTCTGGCGGTATGATGGGGTCTTTGATGTCTCTTGGGGGCGACGGGCGTTTCATAGGAATCGTCGGCAGCTGCAATGAAGGGGTGGGTTTCTTCACTGCTCGAGCAGGAGCTGGCTTCACCTCCTCCTCCAAACCCGTCGATCTCATTTTTGAATTGAAGATTTTAACGGTTTTAGGACGTTCTTCGCGATCTTTTCTTACACCTATGGAGAAAGCTTTTTTCTTAGATTCCCTCAATTCTTCTTCAGCGGCCGCGGCTGCAGCCACGACGCTGGGTTTCTTCGGAATCCTACCTAGTTTATCAATGGTAGGTGGTTTAATAATCTCCAAGGTGTCCTTGTCTTTTTCCGCCTGATTTTCCTTTTCGACAGGTTTATCTTTACCACTATCTTTGTCCTTGACCTTATCTTTGGAGTCCTTACTCTTTTCTCTGCTGGAACTACCGCTGGACTTTGAACTGCTATTAGATTTGCGCTTATCCCTATCACTTCTGTCTTTGTCTCTATCAGCTCTATCCTTATCCCTGCCACTTTTGTCTTTATTACTCCTCTCCCTATCCTTCTCATCTGTTGAACTGCTGCTTCTGTGTTTGCTAGAAGAACTGCTTTTTGATTTCCTATCTTTATCTCTGTTTCTGTCCTTATCTCTATCTTTACCCTTGTCCTGACTCTTGTCCCTATTCCTATCTTTGCTTTTCTCCTTATCCTTGCTACTACCAGACTTACTGCTGGAACTATTTTTAGAACCCTTTGACGAAGATTTACTCTTTTCCTCCTCAGCTTTTAGTGGTTCTTCAGCTGCCGCTTCTGGTTCTTCTTCCGAAAGTTTTCTATTATTCAATCTCACTTCTTTGTCTGCAGGTTTGTAGAATGTTTCAGTACTAACCGTTTCTAGTTCTACACCTTTTTCTTCTTCAGACACAGGTTTCATGTCGACAACAGTAGTATCGGCATTAGAAATCTCAATTACATCAGATGCCACTACGGCTTGTTTAGGAGAAGGATTGTTGGATCCCTTAACAATAACCAGCCAATGCTGCACAAGTTTCGTAGACAATTCAGCCACACCTAAAATAATAACCACAATTTAGTTTGGTTGAACTTGTTTGATTCTGAGGTTTAACATCTGCCAAAAGTGTGCTTCAAATGGTTAGTTCTCATCAATAATAATAATAAATATAATTTACATTGTACCGATATGTATGACAATACAAAATGAAGAAAAAATACCTAAATAAAGTTATCATAAATTTCTTGCAAACTGTGTATTAAGCTTAATATGAAAATTGCGTATAATTACAAAATTGTTTGTTCCAAAGAGGCGCCTACAAGACTCTTGCTGCCCTCTTTTGGAGAACAGAAACGAACTCGTAGACAAGTTTGAGCACAGCCCGTTCAGAAAAGAATGAATGATATACTATATAAACTGTCTTAGCTTCATTCTGGTTCTTTAGATGTTACTGACACCTCCTGACAATGCTACTGATGTAAGTGTAAAAAATGACGAATCGAAAAAATATAATTAATTAATACTAAAGGAATCAAATGCGGTAAATTTTTAAAGGTTTCTTTGAATAATATTAAGTTGTGAACAAAAGTTTTTGCCGCCATTCGTTGTTAGTAATGAAGAATATCAATATTTCTAATATAAAAACTACAAAAAATCGTTGAAACAGAAAAATGTGAAAAATCTCGACAATATTCTTCAATGATGCACTGTTTGGAATCTTTGGTGTAGTAATGAATATTACTGTAGTTTTTTCCCAACACCAAATCGTTATTTTTAACACCTCGACACGTGTTTCGATCACCAAGTGATCATCTTCAAAGATGAAGATTAAAACTCACCTTCCTCATTGAAGATAATCACTTGGTGATCAAAACACGTGTCGAGGTGTTAAAAATAACGATTTGGTGTTGGGAAAGAACTCCAGTAATATTTAACATTCAAAAAACTGACATTATTATTTATAAAAGTTGCTCATGAAATGAAGTTCTTTCACAATTCTTTAAAAAAATGCCACATCTCATGGGTTAAGTATCCAAAAAGCAAATCATCAATGTCGTCGGTTGGTTTCAGGTTGAAATTTCGTCTTCTATGAAAAATAACATGGAACAAATATCAATATTCGTAAGTAAACACAACTAAACATTCATGTTGAAAGTAGTTTTTTCGGTAATTCAAATCTTGCTAAAACTTTCTAAATATATGGTATCTATTCATCCTTTGGAACATGAAAGTCGATACAGGGGATAGAAACTAACACCTTTAGTCAAATATGATCACATAATCATTGTTTCACATTGTAGAGTTTTGAATGGGCTGTATAAGATTATATTTCTGGAATGGTGATTCATGAATTACCTCTCAAATAAATCTTAAAAAATTGATGGATATTCAAAATGTGCAATCATTTCTCTCTAGTTACTGGAAAGTCTATAACCTCAATAAAAATAAAGGCAGGACCACATGTTACTTGTAAGCAACTGAAGAACAGTTCGATTGTTGAACTTATTCAGGCACTGGACTGAATTTCGCCCTAGACAAAATTTATATAAGAATATCAACTTTTGTACATATTTCTTTGACCTATTGGGAGTTCTTGGGGTTACCTTTAGCTTCACAGTTTGCTTCCAATATATCTCCATGATGCAGAGCTCCATAATTAACTCTTTTCTTTTGTCTTAGCCCATATGTGCTTTTTACCAACATTTTACTACTCATTTTCATCACTATCACTGAAAACTGACTCTACAACTATGTATAACCTTTCTTTAGGTAATACAGTTATAAACTGATTCGTTGACTAGGAACCAATAAATCAATATTTATACTGTAAGCTCAAAGTTAAAATCATGTAAATGCAATTTTACGGAGACTAAAAATTAATAATATTCAAAATATTCACTTGAAAATATCTTATTGTTTTGTTTTTTTAAAGTCTCCTTGTTGAAACATAGGAACTCCATGATAATAATTTAAAAATGTTCACCCTGAATTTCATTATCACCATGAATAATTTCCATTAGCATTTTTACAAAGTTCATATGATAGGTTTGGAATATTGTAAATTGTACACATAAGAATTAAATGTTTGTGGTCGTGGCTACTGCTTCAAACAACTTTTAAATAAAGAAATACTTTCATTTTTGAAATCTACTCAAAATTATCCCGTGTTACACGAGTTTGGATCAGTTTCATGAAATTTTTCAGTAATTTATTGACTATGTTGGACAATTCAAATATTTTAGTATCCATTTCCAAATTGAGAATAAGATAAGCAAAATCCGAAGTGCATATATTTCATTAGTTTTGAAAACCACTATTTGTATATCCTACAGTTTTTATTATTGGTATACCCTAACCTTCGTACCTAGTACTTAGAAACAACACAAACTCAAAAATATTCTATACATGTAATTTTTCATTGTTAAATAATTGAATTTTTTAAAATGATAAACTGTTAGATCTACTAAAAATCTCTTAACAAACTCCGTTTTTTAATAACAACACAATCCATTTATGCTTTTTTAAATTCATGATCATTCTCTAGAAAACCACTTGAATTGAAGAACTTCTTGAAACTTGCAAATACAACAAAAGAAAGGGCTCCCATAAAAATCAAATATCTCCATACAGAGTGCCTTACTGAATGAAAACTCAACAAATATGAAACTCAAAGTAGCAAAATAATAAAACGCAAAGTTATAGAGAGAAATGTTTTCTGTTCTCTACTTTTCATTTTGTCCTTTGGAAGTCTGAATCCAATATCAAATACATGATCCTGATTTTCATTTTTTCCTGAATTCCCATTTCTTAGAATTCACATTGAATTTAAAAATTTATGCTCTGCTGCTAAAAAAATTAATTGAAAATTAGTGTGCAACAAACAAATCATATACTAGAACTGCAACACTCTTCTGGACTACATTATATGGCACCTCGAGAATAGTGCTTAGTGTTTAAAAGAAAGGTAGATGAAAAATGCATTCAACAGCTTTATTCTGTAAACTTCTCAATAGTTTCAAAGTTGTATTTGAAGCAGTTTCCCATATACTAATTAAATACTGTAATTTTGAATAAATAAGTAGTAAATTAGCTTCGGATGCTTCAAAGAAACGTTCATTATTTTATATAGAATCCCAATGATTGGAGCTACTAAATTGATGTATGTAGCTGTTACTACTTGGTAGGAAATCACCACTTTTATTTGTAACTAACGCAGTAACGTTGGAGCTAGCTTTTTTCGAATGACATCGATCTGGATATTCTACGGAAGAGTTTCCATTTTTTTTAGATAATTTGGTTCAAATACATCATGTTTATCATAAAATACTATATGATGCAATAAAGATAAACTTTAGCCTTTGGTCTGGTTCTCACATGTCCACCTGAAGTTAATTTTAGCCCTTTTTAAAAATTGACATCACCACTTCTAATCGCTCACAAATTCAAATCATTTTTACAATATTTTGCAATGATGAGCTCATTATCATCTGAATATCAATTTATGATGCAATAAAGATACATCACTCCAGCCTTTGGTGTGGTTCTTACATCCCATGAAGTAAATTTTAGCCCTTCTACTATAAAAATCAAAGTTATCATCTCCAAGTGCTTACAAATGAATATAAATATGAGAAAAAGTTCAAATTTAAATCATTTATATAATATTTTCCAATGATGAGCTCATTATCATCTGAATAGGAATCACACGTTAAAAGGTAAGACCTCGTTAGTCCTTAGCTCGCACAAGTTTCTCAACTTCTGAGAGTTGTCGTTCGAACAGGGGCGATAGCTGATTAACGGAAAAACAGATTTTAAACAGATTTTTTTTAAACAGATATCAATTTATGATGGACATCAGCTTTTGGTCTGGTTCTTACATGTCCAGCTGAAGTGAGGTTTAGCCCTTTCACTGTAAAAATTGATTTCACAATCTCTAATCACTTATAAACAAATTTAAAAGAGAAAATTCAAAATTGAATCATGTATACTATATTTTGCAATGATGATCTTTTAATTGTCAACTGAAAAATGTCAGTAATCAAAAAATAGATACAAAATATTACATCGATGTCAGTGAATCTAGAATTGAGACTGCAGAATGGCATGAGCTGTTAGTGCATATGACATTTGCAAAAAAATTCCAATAAAATATTCAAAAATAAAACTAATCGTGGACAGATTCAAAGTACGACCAAGAACATTTGAATCCAAGATTATTCACAAGTCTAATTTTGGTCAGTTTATCCAGTTCAGTAAACTCCAGATGGCCTTTCCTCATGATTAAAGATTCCCGTACATCCATATTAGGGTGACTGACTGTATCGTTAAGTATGTGAGAGGCTTCTCTGAACTTCCATTTAAACCAGTTGCTTTTAGAGGGTTTTGTGACAGTTTAATTCTGATTTATCGACTGAAATATCAATAACGAGTTCTAGTCATAAAAAATTCTCTGCGCTATATTACTGAGGACATAAGTAAGTTTTTTGAGGTTTCTCACGACCAATATTGGAATACATGAAAATAACGAACTAGAAAAACACAAAGTTTTTCTTATATTTACAAATTTTGACTAGAAAATCCAAATTTCAACTCAATAATTACTCAAGTTCTTCAAAACTCGACTTGTTTCTATGTTTATGTGAATATTACCTCATAAAATTCAAAAAGGTAATCTACAGTTGAGTCATTGAAAGATTACACATGTAACATACATTTGTGCATCGGATATTATTGGACAAAGTAATTTGTAATTAAAACGAAATGAGGTAGCAAATGTTCCGAATAACCTAACCTTTTAATTGAGAATTGCTTTCATGTTTAAAACCCACTGAAAAATAACCCTAGGTTCCAAATATCTGGCATCCAGTGGCATATCCAGTATGCGAAATATTATACAGACATTCCCAATTTTAGGTTCGAATTCAAAAATGCCGACAGTAAGTTTGTTGTGAAATTGTGTGGTATAAGAGAACTGAAACCTTAGAAACTATTCAATGCTATTAAACTGTCAAACGATAGTAATAGTAATAATCATCAATTCGTCTCAAAATCTATATTG